CGTCCTCGTCCTCGTCCTCGTCCTCGTCCTCGTCCTCGTCCTCGTCCTCCTCGTCCTAGTCCTCCTCGTCCTCGTCCTCGTCCTTGTCGTCATCCTCGTCCTCGTCCTCGTCCTCGTCCTCGTCCTTGTCCTCCTCCTTGTCCTCCTCCTCTATCTCATGCTCATTGTCCTCGTCCTCATCCTCATCTTCATCCTCATCCTCAACCTCATCCTCCTCATCCTCAACCTCATCCTCATCCTCCTCGTCATCGTCCTCATCCTCCTCGTTCTCGTCCTCGTCCTCGTCCTCGTCCTCCTCGTCCTCGTCCTCGTCCTCATCGTCATCGTCGTCCTGGTCCTCGTCCTCGTCCTCCTCGTCATCCTCCTCGTCCTCATCTTCATCCTCATCGTCCTAATCCTCAACCTCATCCTCTTCATCCTCAACCTCATCCTCATCCTCCTCCTCGTCATCCTCGTCCTCGTTCTCCTCCTCCTCCTCCTCATCCTCCTCGTGCTCGTCCTCGTCCTCGTCCTCGTCCTCGTCCTCCTCCTCGTCAAGGCGCCTCCGTCTGTATTTCCAAAGCCACCAGGTCATCGTCAGAACTAATTTCCCCATCTAAAAAATCCTTAGGAAACCAGACTTGGCGAGACGGATGGTGGCATGGGTAGTAGAACTGTCCGAGTTCAGCCTACGCTACGAACCAAGAGGGTCGGTCAAGGGCCAGCACCTAGCCGACTTCGCGGCCGAGTTACCTCCCACCAGCCGAGACGAGTCGAATTTGTACGTGGATGGGGCGTCCGGTAGATCGATCAGCGGGGCCGGCATAGTGTTGGAAGGCCCCAACGGATTCCTATTGAATGTTACAACAGTTGGATATTCCCCAATAGAAATGGGACAACATCTCGATGGACTTTGTAACTCACTTACCAAGATCATGGAAGGGTCATGATTCCATTTGGGTGATAGTTGATCGATTAACGAAAAGTGCTCACTTTTTGCCAATCAACCTGAGAATGTCAATGAAAAAATTGGCAGAGTTGTATATTCAGGAAATAGTGAGATTGCATTGTTTACCAAATAGCATTGTCTCATATCGGGATCCAAGGTTTACGTCAAGGTTCTGGCAGCAATTGCAAGAGGCTTTGGGTTCGAAGTTAAGAATGAGTGCAGCATATCATCCTCAAACAGATGGACAAACTGAAAGGACTATTCAGTCATTGGAAGATCTGCTGAGAACGTGTGTATTGGACCATTTGGGAGGTTGGAGTAAGGTTTTGCCTTTGGTGGAATTCACATACAACAACAGCTTTCATGCGAGCATTGGAATGGCACCGTATGAAGCATTGTATGGGAGAAGGTGCAGGACACCTTTGTGCTGGTTTCAGGATGGAGAAACAATTTCAGTAGGTCCCGAGTTATTGCAGCAAACAACAGAAAAAGTCAAGTTGATACAAGACCGGATGCGTGCAACACAAAGTCGACAAAAATCTTATGCAGACAAGAGAAGGAGACCTCTTGAGTTCAACGAAGGAAATCATGTGTTTCTACGTGTGACACCGGTCTATTGAAGCATGGAGGTTGATGTTTTGTCTCCCGTGAAACATGGGTGCATGTTTTGGTTAAGGGGACTCATCCCTTTCATTTGTTTGTTTTTTTCTTTCCATTGTATTACTGCAAGCATCTTCCAAGAGTGAAGAATTGCTTGCAAGGAGAAGAGGTAGGGGAGTTAATCCTTTCTTGTTATGATCATGAATATGAGTATGAATATGTTAAAATTTTGGTAATGGTAGTTATCTATTGACTTGTGTAAAATTTGGTTTTCATGATTATAATTTCTTATTTTAGAGTTACTGTGGTGAAAAATTTCTATTAAATGTTTTCACCGTTGGATTTAGCTAAAATTTTAATATGTGAATCCTAAGACCTATTACTACACTTTGACCGTTCGAATTTGAAAATAGAAGTTTGTACTTGGAGAAATAAATCCTGCATGTTTGAGTAAATTAGTTACCCCTGTAGTTCTGTTACTAAGTTGTCTCGGTAAAATATAGATTCTGACCTATTTGACCGTTAGATCAACCTCAAAATTTGATATATGATCCCTAAGAGTTTCCCATCCCTCTCAAGATAAGCATATTTCAAATGGGATGGTAAAGGTTTAAACTCCAAAAAGGGTGGATGAACCAAAGATGGCAAAATTTTACTGCCTAAGGTAATCTCAGCCACCTCAACATCACACTCGGACGCCATAGAGGTATCATCTATCAATACTGCGTCCTCAATATTACTTGCTTTACAGTTTTCTTTTTCGTCCAAAATTAGGCACGACATATTTGAAAAAGAAAAATTGTTTACAACATTACTTGATAAGTCAATACAAAACAAAGAATGATCTTTAATATGGTGCTTCCCAACTTTCAACACGTTGAACCACACCTTCTCGTCTCCTATCTCCATTGTCAATGACCCTGCATGCAAATAAAATAAACTATTTGAAATAAAACAATTAAAATTAAATATAATTAATTCAAATATTAATATACGTAATAAACTATTTAAAATAAAACAATTAACTAATAAACTATTTAAAATAAAACAATTAAATAATAAACTATTTGAAATAAAACAATTAAATAGTAAAATATTTAAAATAAAAAAATTAAATAATAAAATATTTAAAATAAAATAATTAAATAATAAACTATTTAAAATAAAACAATTAAATAATAAACAATTTAAAATAAAAAAATAAAATAATAAACTATTTAAAATAAAACAATTAAATAATAAACTATTTAAAATAAAATAATTAATTTCAAATAATATTAATAAAATGAATAAAAAAACATACAAGTAAAACAAAATAAAATAAAAAATGCATTAGGCATGTACCAGATAGGGAAATTGATACATCCTACATTGGATATTGGTTTCCCATGTCCAATACATGCCTACCGCGTTTCTGATCACAAAACCACGGACAGATCAAGCAAATCAGAGAAATTTAAACACTTTGTAATCATCCAATCTATATATTCAGTCTATAAACATGCAAAACCAGCAAAAGAAAAATTTAAACCATGAACCAACCTCTGACAGCGTTTGAGCAGCGAACAATGGACGAAAATTGGAGGAAGAAGAAGACGAATGCCTGAGAAGAGGAGAAACTAAAATGTCAAAATAAGAACTTGTATTAGTGTGCGCACAAGACAACAAAGAAAGGAAAACTCAAATCCGAGAAGAAGAGTCTTGTGTTTCTGTACCTCTGTTGCGAAAAAGAAGAAGCTTGCGGCTGTGGTGCAAAAACAAAAACTTTTATGTGCTCTGTGAGAAAGGAGAGTAAGGCAAGGGTGAGAAAGGAGAGGAAGGGTGCTGTGAGAAAGGAGAGCAAGGGTAAGGATGTTGTGAAAAAGTACAGTGAGGTGAATTTCGATGCATAAATACACTCATAAATACACATAAAAGCAAGCTTCTAAAATTGGAACTGACTCTTAGAAATCTTTGACCAAATTTAAAAATTAAAACATTTTTAATTAGGGTTAAAATTGAAATTTTATTAGAGTAAGATGCCTTGATTAATTTGTGTATAAAATCAAATAAGTTGAATCAATGTGCAGATTCTATCTTATGAATAATTATTTATTAAATTTAAAATAGCAGTGAAAGTTATAGTAAAATTGGAAAAATATATTATTTTCACAGTTTCCTGAAAACCTTCTTACCCTTTAGCATTAGTAGATAACTTTAAAATATATTATGTTATTACTTTTCAATAATAAAAAATAAACAGTATACAAGAATAATTTTACAAGGAAAAAATTATTTTGGCACATATACACTTAATTTAATATACTTATTTATACTCCTACATTAAAAAAATTAGAAACAAATAAGTGTAACTTAAACCAAGATTCAAATACCCATTTTCAAATACTATTTTAAAAAAATATTTATTTCAAAATCCATGATATTTTGAAAGTGTTTATTGTAATATCTTATTTAATAGTATAAATTATTAAATAAAATATTATAAATTCTAAGAAGATATAAAACATATAAAATATTAATATACTTATCCATTGTAATAACTATAACAACATAATATATTTATACAACAACTGAAAACTACAAAAATTATTCAAAGGGAAGAAATTTATATACATAACAACTATAAAAAATAAATCATCACTTTGCAACATCATCATCTTTCACTAAAAGTATATCATCACCTAACTCATCATTTGCTCACATTACGAGTTGATCATTGTAAAAAGAACAAAATAACCAAAGAAAAAACAAAGTAAGCTAGTATGCAAAAGAAACATCTTTAAAAACATAACAAATATCAACTAAGCATTTATAAGATATCAATCTTATATAAACATACACATATAGTTGACACTAGAGTGAATTATCCCGGCCTTTGACACAATTGTTATCACTCTACTACTCACAAAATTAGTCTCTTTCACGTCTCATACCAAAAGTATAGGGTTGAGACCTCTTACCATTCTCTCCTTCACCTTATTCCTCTCTATATGAGTTGAATGGTTGCTAGTATATCAGGATACCTGCTTTCTGAACTCCCATATGTCAAAGCATACACTAAAAATCATCATAATACATAATTTCTCCTTAAAATTCTCTCAAAATCAATACCAAACATAATCATAACAAATATCCTCATTTTCATACATACAATTATCATACTTGCGAGCATAATAAATTATTACATAAATCAATATCAAGCATCTAAAAAGAAGAAACAAAACAAGCATATAAACTGACCGTTAGAGGTGGCACTCAATGGACGAAACCTCTCGCACAAAGGTGGCGCTCAACGACAATCCTAACGCTTAGTGCCAGACCTTTCGCAAGAAGTGACACTAAGCAATAATCAAGGCGCTCAACATCATTCTTCTTACAAAAAGTCGCGCTCAACGACACCCTCCTACCGCTCAAAGTCTCAGAACTAAAATTGCTCCAAACTTACCGTGCAACATGGTGCTCAATGGTGCCTTACCACTGCTCAGCGTCAAAGTATACACAAAAATGGCCACTCAACGGTGAAAATGGACGTTGAGTAGTCTGGAGCAAAACTGCTTCCAAACTTACAAAACTAATATTGCGCTCAACGCCACACTTGTACCGCTCAACATTGTACCAGGAATTCAACATACTTAGATTTGCGATTTAATTTAAATGAGATCTTATCAATTGCTCAAATTTGTATCCTTTTTCCATAGAAATGGTTCAACAAATTTTGTATACATTAAACTCATACAAATTTGTACAATTGTTCAACTCTTCAATTCTCTCAATTACAAACACAAGCCAAAACTCAATTTAACTAACAAACCATGACATTCAATTCAACATAAAACATCAATCAAATTCAACAACATACCAATATCAATAAGAAATATTCAATTCGCGCACACTAAATCAACTACCTTCTCGTACCTGAATGATGATCCAACAGCTCTAGAACCCTTAAAACACCTTTAAATGCATAAGAAACCCCATATGCCCCTATAAACAGTATAAACACGATTAGGACACACCGCTAGAACAACTAATAATTTATAGAAGACTTAGACCCCACATGTAAATTAGAACCGTCTACAAGCACTAAAAAAATGCACAAACTAAGAAAATGAGTAGAAAACTAACTTACTTTATCTCAGAAACCAATCAAATAGAATTAAAAAACTTGTCTCAAAGATCTAATGATTTCCGATCTTCAAACATATGAAATGATAATTAGAAGGTTTAGAAAAAGAGTAAAAAACTCTAAAAGAAAAGAAATTTAAAAAAAAATGATATAGTATAAAATAATAAAACTCTTTTATAAAGCTTAATTTATACTTAAACTTTTATTATTAAAATAATTAAGTCTCATTATTTTATCCACAGTATTAATTTTAAAATATAATTGGGTTAAATATG